AGGAGAAAGCAAAGCAGGGAAACCTGGGATTGGGTAAAAAGTAAGACAGAGACCCACGGTTCTTTTCCATCGGTGGGTGCAGGCTAGTGAACATGTACAGCACATGGAGATGGTGCGGGAACCAAGGTAGCGATGAGGGGCTCAGCGGTCTCCTGCTCCGGTAGGGGTGTCCTGAGGGGTCTAGAAAAGCATGTTACCCTGACACTCCAGAGGCATGTTTTTTATCATAGATGCAAAAAGACAATAGATAGGCTCAGTTAAGGTACAGACTGACCTTTGTCAAGGAAGCTACAGTCAGCGGACATGACTACCCACCGTGATCTGCTTTTAGGAATTTTTATGTTCAGACCATCGTATGTGGTTACTTTTGGTCTCTGAGTTTGTAAGGCCGCCAGGCAGGCCCCCTGAGCATGTCGGGTTTAGTATGTGGCCCCTCTCTCGTGCACAGTATGTGATGTCTAAATGAATTGGCTTGAACATATTTCTGAATGATTCAATTTGTCTGACTTTATCTTAAATCGGCAGAACTCCAGCTGGAAGGTGACAGTTAGAGCATATTTTACGGTCGTCTGTTGTTCCATTCCTTGATCTTAAAAGGAGTGTATAAAAGATTTTGACTTTAAAATCACTAACATTAATATGTATTACATAGTCAGACTTTTATTAGAACTCAGTCTTTAATGTATGTCATTTTATTCAAGAAAGTTAAAATCTGTTTATTATTGTCCATGAGAATGTAACTCAGGATCAGAGATTCGGTAGCTTGATGCCACAGAATTATCACACAAGCTGAGAAGTCCACAGGCAGACCTCGGAGATATTGCAGGTGTGGTTCCAGACCACGCAATGAAGCGAGCATTGCCCTGAAGTGAGTGGTCATAGTCTTTTAGCTGGTATGGGGGACTTGCCTTCAGTTTATAAAAAATGCAACATCTATGAAGTGTAATAAAGCAAAGCACAGTAAAACAAGGTGCCTGTAGTTTTAAATCCAGCTCAGCTGTTTGCCATTTAAAATTATGCTGTCTGCTTAGAGAATAAGAAATACCATTCCTGACAGTGCATGTTATTTTGTTATTATCATTATATGCAAATAAAGTTCATTACACAAATTGTGTCTGGTCTCTAATGTGACAGCTATGGAGGTAGGTCCCTCAAAGAGCTTGTTCATGTCCTCCCTTGGCCACAAACCTGTTCCACTCCAGGCAGCCTGTCCTCAGGGGCCCGTGCCCTTGCTCAGGTCCAGCCTGGCTGCTGACCAGCCTGGGGACCTGGGGTGAGTACTTGACTTCTAGACCTTCACCCACCTCCTCTGCCCAGCACCCTGCTCCCAGCACCCCTGGTAGAGCAGAGAGAACATTGGAGCTGCTGGGGGGTAGGGCGTGTTAGGGACAAAGGGATTTGGGGTCTTCTGTCCCCCAGTCTCCTGGGCAGCACACACATAGGACCCCAGGCCACCCCCACAGCAACAGCCCAAAACAGCTGAGCGCACAAGATTTCTTCTGGATCTTAAATGCCACAGTTTTATGATACAGATTCTAGGAAACCTTCAGTGTAGAAGTTAAAATCCTGGTGACCCTGAGTTCATGCCACACGAGACAGTGTCTTTTTCTTTCTAAACGGTGACTTCCATTCCTTCTCTGCTCTCTCATCATGCAAAGCGGTTGCAGTTCATACGTTACCGAGCAGCTGTGGAGGGAAGCGTTGCTCATGTCACCTGCGGCAGCAGGCCAGCGGTGGGATGGTTTCCTGATGGTCGCATTCTAGGTATTCTCATTCATGAAACAGTTTACCCGAAGCCGCTGTAGCAAAAGCTCTACGGTGTAGTTGGATTTTGGCGTTAACTTCAGGAACTAAAGAAAAGCACATCATTTGAAGTCCCAAATCTTGCTAAAACATGCTACTGCTCCCCTGTGCTCAGTGAATTCACCCTGGCAGGGACTGAAGCCACCTGGGGTCCTGAAGGGTGGGTACAGCCAGGCCACGCGGGCCCACTCCTGGGAATTCTCCCCAAGCGCGGCCCAGGCGCCAGGAAGTCGTGGCTGGGCCAAGGTGGGCAGGTCCCCAGGGAAAGTGCTGGGACATGTGTTCTTCCAAAACCTGGTACCACGGGGGCGAGAACAAGCTGGTCGGAGGGCCTCTAGGCTTCCAAGTTTGGTTAGTTCCTGGTTACTTGCTGCAGATAAAGATGGCCTGAGACTTTGCAAAGTGGGTGTGAGGATTCACTTCTCCTTTTGGGAAAAGACATAAAATTTAAAGAAGAAAAAATTCACCTGATCCTTGTCAAAAACACACATTGGACTTAAGTCATTTTTCTTACAACTGAGAGAAGAGACGAAGCAGAAGCAAAGTCTGCTTTGTGACTTTCGTCAAAGCAGAAACGAAGCAGAAGATGTGTAGTAAAAATGTCCCCTCGGGGAAGTGGGGAACAGTGGGCTCCCACACCGCCCCCTCCCTGAACCATGGCAGATTTGCCTTCAAATTAGAGGCATTGAATGGAGCCCGGGCACCGCAGGGTCTTTGGGTTCATTGAGGCTTGGGCCTCATTTGTACCTGTGTCTCTCCACCTCGGATCTGCAGCAGCACTCCTGTCCTTCGTCACCCACGTGGGTGGCCACACTGCCTGCCTCACATTTAGGGCACGCCCTTTGGGATCTCAGCCACCACATGGCTTCATGGTTCCTCGTGATACATTTCTTACCCAGATCTTAATTCCCTGTACCTCAGCCCATGTGCACCTGGAGACATGGGGCCATTTTCGTTGCCTAGAATCAGAAAGGGTTCCTGTTTGGGGGCTGGGGGCATTGTGGGAGTGGATTCTTGACACCTCAGCTCAGAGTCCGGGTGCATTTCCCGTGGAGCCCTAACCGTGCTGTGTGCTGACTGTGGTTTTTACTGTGGGCTCGGGTCTGTGCCACCACTGGCTATGTGTGTTGGACCAGTTCCCGATCTCTTCAGCATCGTTTCCCCATCTGCAGAAACGGGCGGACACCCACCCTGTCACAGGACTGTTGTGAGGGTTCGGGTCACATAGGTGCAGGAAGGTCAGCTTCCTCCCTGTGCCCAGACACCTGTCTCCTGAATGTCACTGCACCAGCAGCTGCATATGACTGCTCCCTGGGAAAAGGCCAAATGCCTGGCAGGCAAACTTCCTATTGTGGTGGCCGTCGGGCACTGGTAGGGTCATGGCCAAGAGCGTTCAAAAAGGACTGTCTCACCGCCCACCCCCCTACTCCCCCGTCCTGGTAAAATACTGTTCTGAGAAAAAATTCCAAGCCCCAGCTCAGTTAATGGGAGTACTAATTTTTCTCATTTCCAGGGCACATCCCTCGCAGTACCTATAACCTAAATTCAGGCGCCTGTATGGGCTGTCATGACCCCGAAAACTCTTACGTTGACATCTTAATTCCCCCGTCAGTCAGTGTGCGACTGTATTTGGTGCAGGGACTTTATAAGACGTAATTAGGTTAAAATAGGGTCTTTAGGGTGGGCCCTAATCCAGTATGACGGGTGCCCTTGTAAGAAGAGGAAATTAGGACACACACACACACACACACAGAGGGAAGGCCATGTGAAGACAGAGCGGCCATCTGCAAGCCAAGGAGGGAGGCCTCAGAAGGAACCAGCCATTATCTCCTACTTCCAAGGCTCAGAACCCTGAGAGCATAGTTCTGTTGTTTCAGCCCCCGTCGGGTCCTTTGTCGTTGCCGCCGCACCAGCCTGGTACAGTGAGTGCCCACGTTGCCTGCACCTCACGGGTGAGAAAGCTGAGACACAGATTAGAGCCCCAGCCCATAAGTGGCCTACTCGGGATCTCCCCTGGGGCTGTGTTCTCAGTCACTCAGCTATAACCAACCCCCCATCCCACCCGGAGTTGCCTCAAAGACTGTTTGATCACATTAGATCCAAACAGGTCAACTGTTCATGGCATGGTTACTGTGTAGAAAGTTCTGGTCTTGATGGAGAAAATAAAACTCCATATGGGCAAGGAGTGTGCCTGCCTCGTTTATCTTGCTCTCCCCCAGATCTTAGGATGGTGTCTGGCAGGAACTCAGTGGCTGAAGTAATTAAATTATTTCGTATCTGAAAAAAACAGACGAAGCCGCGTACTCATTCATAAGTCGGCTGAAGAGGGTCTTCAGCAACGTGTGTGTGATGCCATAATGGCTGCTCTGCTCACCTTGACACCTTTACGTGCCAGAGAATATTCTAAAACTTGATCTTTCAGAGGTATTGTTTTCAAGTGGCTTTTGTTATAAATTTGTAAAGGCCTATTTAAAAGTTAGTTTTAAATGTTATTTCTTGAAGTCTTTGTTACCAGTCATTGGACTCAGCCGGGTCACTGCAGCTTCGGCGTGGGGACCACCTCTCGAGGTTCAAGGTTCGTGGCGCCTGAGCCTCTGGTTAGGAAGCTGTGGAGCAGCTATGGGGAGCCCTGGGCGGGCACGGCGTCCCAGATGTGGAGGAGAGGGCGGGCTGGCCTGAGTGGAGGGCAGGGTGGGCGCTAGCCCTGCTTGCTGAGATCTGAGCCTTCTTAGAGCCGCTCTTTTGAGTTCATCTGGTCCAGTGTCCTGCCCAGTACAAGAATCTTGCAGNGAGATCTGAGCCTTCTTAGAGCCGCTCTTTTGAGTTCATCTGGTCCAGTGTCCTGCCCAGTACAAGAATGTGACAGCATCTTGCCTTCCCCCACGCCTTATCTTCTCGAATCATTTCAGGAGGAAACTAACTTTCTACTAGTTTGCTCTCATGGTGCTGCTGGCACTCTCCCATTTCTTTAAGAGTAAAGGAAGGAGATCAGTTTTAGTAGTGCTCAGGTTTTAGTCACTTGGCAACTGCTCATCGCGGCCATCAACATGTGACTTTTCCGATAGTGACTGTGGTTTGTGACCAGGGCAGATGTCCCCCCTTGAATGTTATGGGCAGAAGGTGGTGGCATGATCCCCCCCGATGCCCATGGTGCCCACAGGTGCCGGTGCCCACTGAGCCCTGTTGTGTCTCCACAGGCCTAGGCAAGACCAAGAGGAAGACGAGTGCCAGGGACGCGTCCCCAACCCCCAGCACGGACGCCGAGTACCCTGCCAATGGGGGCGCCGACCGCATCTACGACCTAAACATCCCGGCCTTCGTCAAGTTCGCCTATGTGGCCGAGCGGGAGGACGAGCTGTCCCTGGTGAAGGGGTCGCGAGTCACCGTCATGGAGAAATGCAGCGACGGCTGGTGGCGTGGCAGCTACAATGGGCAGATCGGCTGGTTCCCCTCCAACTACGTCCTGGAGGAGGCGGACGAGGCGGCCGCAGAGCCCCCCAGCTTCCCGAGCCTGCGGCGGGGCGCACCCCTGAGCAATGGCCAGGGCTCGCGGGTCCTGCACGTGGTCCAGACGCTGTACCCCTTCAGCTCGGTCACCGAGGAGGAGCTCAACTTCGAGAAGGGAGAGACCATGGAGGTGATCGAGAAGCCAGAGAACGACCCCGAGTGGTGGAAATGCAAAAACGCCCGGGGGCAGGTTGGCCTTGTCCCCAAAAACTATGTGGTGGTCCTGAGCGACGGGCCGGCGCTGCCCCCATCTCACACCCCGCAGATCAGCTACCCAGGGCCCGCGGGCAGTGGGCGCTTCGCGGGCAGAGAGTGGTACTACGGGAATGTGACCCGCCACCAGGCCGAGTGCGCCCTCAACGAGCGGGGCCGCGAGGGTGACTTCCTCATCAGGGACAGCGAGTCCTCGGTAAGTGACCTGGGACCCAAGGGCTGCCCGGGGCCGGGTGTTCCAGGAGAAAACAGTGAGGAGTGAGTGAGTGAGTATGTGTGTGTAGCACAGTGTGTAGCAGTCGTGTGCCATCCCTTTACAGATTGTGTGAACAGACTGGAAATAGCAAAGAATACTTGGGGCTCACACTAAGACGGATGAGGAGGATTGGTCTGTGTCGTCTGTGTGAGGCGCAGCTCTGTAGTGCCCCTGAGTCAGCTGTGAGCGCAGTGACTCACCTGTCTGTGGCTGCCACGTGTTCCCCAGGAGATGTATTCCTGCAGATACGGGGGAGCAAATGTTTTTACTTCATGACGTGGCTCTGCCTCTTCACCAGGATTTCCCCTTTTCTGTTCTGCAGACCTAAGCATCGCTTTCTGTCTGGCTTCCCCTTCTGTCAGTGACCCCCCGGGCCCTGTTGGTTTACTTGGCTTCCACGCTGGGCCCCAGGCACGTCAGCTGCTCTCAGCCAGACGGCACCTGGTTTCTGACGAAGCCTTTTGCTGGTTGGGTGGTTTTTCCTTGTAAACTATATATTTCATCCTGAGGTCGTCTTTGCCGCAGGCAGCACCCCTGAGTTCATCTCCAAACGGCTGTTGAAGCATTTATGGACAGAATTGAAAAGAAAAAGGCAGTTCTAGAGAGAGATGAGTGTGTGTGAACTCAGTCGGAAGTCTGAGGCCACCAGACTTGCAGCAGGTCCGTTTCCAGCAGTAGACAAATCTGGGGTCTGGTTTTGGGTATGTGTCTGAGCCTATGTGGAGGAACTGGGCCAGGATTGCGCCTGTGCATGTGTGTGTGTGAGTGTTATGAAAATACTCAACCGGTTTTGTAGATCTCTTTGCAAATACACCATCCATATAGTTAGACACTCTCAGTCCCCCCAAAAAAACAAAAACAGAAGTTCTACAGATAGAGTTCATTGTGATTCACTTAAATGCACGCTGTAGAACTAGTAAGTATGTCCTCACTCTGCAGTTGTCCTGGGAAAGGTTGATGCCACAATGAGCGAGTGAGTGCAGTGCCATGGAAATGTTTTTCCCCTGCAGAGCCTCAAGAGGCAGCCGTGGCGTGTTCTTTGAGGCAGGAGGAGCCCCATAGCGGTGGAAGTCAGACTCCGTTACGGTGTTGGCCGCCCGTGGGGTTAGCGGCGCCTTGCTTGGATGTGTTTGGGCAGGCGCGCCGGGCCGGAACGTAACTACATCTGAAACCCAAACTCAGATTTTCTCATCCAGCCTCCAGAGTGTATCATTCCTGGCGAGACCACACGAAATTGTTCTTGAGTGACGTGAGCTCTGTGCACGGCTTCCGTTCGATCGTGGTTAGGCCCGGTAGAGTGGAATACGGCCGCGTGCTCAAACCCTCCGGAGCAGAAAGTGAGAGGAAGCGCTGAGAACCACTTACAGCACAGTGATGGATCCAGGGCCCTTAGGTGATGAACGTAATGCAGAGTCGAAAAGTGGAATCTTGATTTAGAAAATTTGAGTTTGAAGGGGCTTCTTAGAATAGAGAGGGGCTCTAGCAGTGGAGGCATCAGTCCCATTCTTTGTTGCTTCTGTCGAGGACTTGGGAAAAGAAACTCCTGGGCAAGGGGGTGGGTGAGGACAGCGTCCTGCAGGCTGCTGCCTTTGACAGGGCCTGGTGCTTTTCCGTGGGACGGTGCGTGCAGGCTCGTCACTGAAGGAGAGAAAGCCTGTGGGTTGGGAGGGGCGCTGTGTCATGCGGGTCCGCTCTCAGAACCGGAATGCGCTCCAGTCTTACCGTCTCGCGTTACTAGAGAACAAGCCGACTTTCTACCTAATTGAAACATTAGTGTTTACATTTTCGTTGAACCTCTTCTGGAGGCGTTTCCAGGTTTTTTGCTTTCTAGTTTACAACAAGCTGCCACAGGCTAATAGTGTGCCGGCCTTCAGTTCTTGGGCTGGGGGG